ATATATATATATATATATAGTATGTATCAATGTATGTATCATAGTATGTATCATAGTATGTATCATAATATATATATATAGTATGTATCAATGGATTGTACATTAACATAATTACAAATCCAAACTGACGATGCTATCTTTTTAATATATTTTTTGTTTACTTATTACGCGTATTATAATAATTTTATTTAATGTAAAACACACATAGAGATTTCATTTAAACTTCTCTCTGATTTATCTGAAGATTTTAATCTGATTAAAAATAGAAATAATCCGGAATATATAATTTCGTAGAAAAGATATGTTGGTGGAAAGTTTCGTTTTAATCGTTCTTTCATATTTTTCCTCATTACGAGATGAACGAATGATGATGAATGAAGAGGGAAAGGATTACAGCTTTAAAGTGTCGAGATTTATTTCCAACACGCATTGACTCTTCTTCTATCTTTTTTTTTTATCTTTCTCTTTAGTCCAACATTCGTTCGTCCCCACACACAACATACTTTTCTAAAATATTTAATATTATTTTATCTCTATCTTCTTTACGTAGTGTGTATAATATAATACGTAAGCTATATTTCAAATTAGTTGATTTTTATTTAATCTCGAATAAAATAATTACGAAAGTGTATATATATATAGAAATTAATTTATAATTATTATTACTATTAATATATATATATATTATTTGTATTCTTTTTCCAAATCTGTGTCGCGATAAAAAAAAAAGAAAGATATATCTAATCGTTTTCATATAAATACGAAAATAAAACGATATTGATTATACACGTCTCAGTTATGCTTTTTTTTATCTGCCTATATATATTTTTTTTTTATCGTCAAATTTATTTTCCACCACGTTCGAAAAGTAAAAGTAATAATATAATTTAATTGGATAAAAATTTTCTTCTGTTGATGATGTAAACATTGTTGATATAAACAAATAACTAACTTTGTAAGAGCTTATCGATTAAAGACCTTCGATTTTTATTTTCTTTTTGTATTTTTAATTTTCATCTATCTATCTATCTATCTATCTATCTATCTAT